TTTTTTTTTTTGTTCACGATTTATTTACTGGGTGATCTCATCGCCTGAACCGATTCTGAGGAACTTACCGCCTATATATAAAACTTGAAACAATTTGATCAGTTGTCAAGCTTAAAAATATTGTTCAGTTGATAGTTACGTCTTATGGATGTAGATACTTTTTTTAACCAACGTTCAATCTGCATATCGGTCATATATCCGCTATTCACCTTTTTTGCTCTTTTTTCCACCTTTTTTTTGGTCGTACTTTTTTAAGGCTTTTTCCAATATCTTGGTTTTCATGTTTCTTTTCTATCTTTGGTATGTATGTTCTGCAGAGTCCTATATACTGGACAAAAATAGTAGATGAGAAAACGTACTCGTAGTTTTTGATCAATAACCATTAGATTACCAAAGCTATAGCCATTAGAATAGTGGTAATACGTCGGTGGCGAAGGGAGAGGTTGTTCGGTAGTCTTTGGTTGTGGTGATCATTTTTTGAGAATTAGATTTTTTTGAAAACAGCCTTTTCAAGTGGTGCTGAAAATAATGGCTTTAGCCACTGTCTATCTGTATATCGATCATCTGCCCGATTTATCGGATCGTTTTGACGCTTCATTGTTTTTCCGTGTATCATTTTTCCGTGTATCAGCTGATTAATTGTCGTAAATAAAAAAGAAAACGTTTTTTTGTCCAATGGTCAGTTGTCTACAATTCAACTTCCTTTCTACTTTCCACAGCACCAGCCTCACACTTTGTGATTGGAAATGAAGAGAAGGGCGAGTGGGGGGTGAGGGGGTGAGTAATATGCCCACTGAGTAGTTTAGAGTAGAGGAAAAACAAATGAACCTTTTAATAATATGCGTGTTATCTATTTGTTGATGTATGATTTCTGTTGGCTTTATATCTCATTAGTTACCTTGTTTCGAATGCCTCATTTTCTTTTCTTTTTTCAGAAACTAGTCTGCTTACCGACGTTAACTCCTAAGAAGAATTGCTGTGGCAGCTGAAGATTGCAAGTCTTTATTTGCTGGAACCGATTGAAAACAGCTGTTGAAATAATTCAAAATGACTAAAACAGAAGTGTTAGGTATGGCAAACAGAGATGATTCGGATCTAGTCATTTCTTACAGGTGCGGTTATTCGACATTTTTTCGTCTAAACATGGTAACTTTTTGCTGGATAGAATAAAAATGACGAGGATAATCAAAACTAAATTTATGTGACATTTTTCTTTGGTTTTTTTCACCTCTCTGCGCCAATGGCTTTCGTTTTATTTCTTTATCTTTACTACACAGTATATGTTTATTTTTATCGTTTGCTGTTATTTGCTTGGCAATTTTATTTCTTGCTGGCATAGCACTTTAAGCCAACTGGTGGCATTCGGTCAGCTATTGATTTAGCGGCGAGAATTATATC